GCCAGTCAGTTACAGACACACACACACACACATATACACACGTAAAAAATGATAAGGTAGGGGTTAGGTGTGGGTGTGTGGCACTGGTGTTGGCAATGGTATTGGGTCTGAGACAATCAAAAGGCCGGAGCTTCGTTTGATAAGCATGAAAAATGTGTAAATTTCAATAAAAGCAAATGAGCCGCAAAATCATACACACAGATAAGCACACACGACTATACTCGTATATGGGTGTACTCGCATACTTATGCATGTGTGTGTGTGTGTGTGCCCAAATAAAGTAAGCTACAATACAATAAAGCCTTAACCTACGTACAGCAACATGTTGAGGCCACAGACTGTAAGACCTTGGCTAACGCTTTAATGTTTACTCTACTTTTTTTGGCTTTGCCAGATTTTAGGGACGCTCGCGTACTCGTGCCTGCGTATGTGTGTGTCTGTGTGTGTCAATGTGTGTGTTTGCGAGTGGCACTTTTTGTGGCTGGACTGTGACAACGCTGGCGTGTTAACAATGTGAGCTAGTACCATTGGATTTACATCACATGGCGTGTGAAGAATGGGAAGACAGTTGGGTGGCTTACCTATCATTCTCTCTCCCCCCCCTCTCTCTCTCTCTCTCTGTCTCTCTCTTTCTTTTGTCATGTACGGCCAAAAAGCGATAAGCAGCTCACAGCAAAAATCGGTAGCTCAGTACTGGATTGCAAAAATTAAATCTATTTAGGTAGAGCATAACATGTGTACTCAAGCAAATATGCTCTCGAAATGAAAATATTCTGTTTAAATTTCAAAAAACGGTACAAGTAAGCATAGGTAGTTGAAACGCATTGGTTCCATCAAAAGATTCCCAGTGCATCCCAAACTTAAATCTTAGATCATTCATTTCATTAAATTGTGTCGCACTCGTAACATAAGTAAATGAAAGATCAATTTAAATGTCATTGGTGCATCTACTAAAAAGATTCAATAAAATCTTACCAAAGCAGCTTCTAATATACTTGTATATCAACAAATAACATTTAAAAAACGATGTTCTGTATGATTGTATGAAGAGGCTTTTAGGTATCTGGAAATGTTTCTCATCCACTGCCTACTGAACTTTCACGCTTCTTCTTCCTCATCAAGCCTTGCAAACTGACCAATAAATTAATTCGAATTCATAGCTTTATTTGCTTTTATTCTTCTTTTAAAACATATTTAAAATTTACTTAAAAATTGACTATCGATTTCGGAAACTGAGTACCCAAGTAGTGCCCCCTAATTTGGCTCCAAAAATGGAGTCTAAGCTAGCCATGTTAACTTCTTGGAGTATTCACTGTTGTTTTATTTATTTTTGTTGGTGGCGGTGCTTGTTGGGTCAGTGGCTGAACCAAAACAGTAGCCGTTAGCCAAGCGACTTTTGAGGCCAAAATATGCTACATGTGTGGACCTTAGTGGCGATGGCGATGTCAAGGGCATGCCAAACCCACAACGGATTGGCGTCGGGCGCCAACGGAAAGGCGAGGCCATGATCGCACTCACGCACCACACACCTTTTTCCACGATTCACACACATACCATATGTGACTCGCCCTATGTGCCAATGTTGTGTGTGTGTGTGTGTGTGTGGGTGTTTGTGTGTTCGTGTGTGCGTGAGCTTTGTGGCAAGTAGTTAAATGGCACAGACACTTGCACGGCCACTGCCACTGCCACGACCGCGCACACTCGTCCACACCCGCTCCCCTCACTCCCAAATTTATAAATATTTATATGTTGACAGTATGGGTGTGTGTTAGTCGTTGTTGTTTTATTTTTCGGCTGTCCTTCAGCTCATAATCCTTTTTTATTGCAAATGACCACGCTAACTGGCTTGGCCGTCACTCGGCACTGGACAATGTTGCTGTTGCTGTTTCTGTTGCTGTTGCTGTTTTTGTTGTCGTCGACTTTTTTATTCTTTATGGGCCCATATCCTACGACCTCCGTTCACAGTCCTTCGTCCACCGGCCATGTGGCAGCTCATAATGCTCATCAACAAGTTCATTTTACGGCCAATTCATTAAAAAAGTTTTCACTTTTTTCACTCCACACTTTACATACATACATATGTATGTACATATGCCAACACTAGCGCCAACAATCACACACTTACACTCAAAATCTATGCTTCCTCCACACTAAGAAGGGTGCCTTACAAAATGTATAACGAATTCCAAAACGAATACGAGCATACTTGTATTACTTGTAATACAAACGTACGAGTATATAACTAAAATAATCGTTACATTAAATAGAAAGAGAAAGCAAAACGAGAAATATTTAGAACAAGCATTATGAGTAAGTGAAATTAAAATTTGCAATATTTCCAAAAGAATCGTTGAAAATGCGTATGCTAAACATACATACGTAAAATATATACTATAAAAGTATATGTTGATTTAAAATAGAAAAACATACATATATATATACATACAAGTATAGTACTTGATTCAAAAACCAAGCACAAATAACAATATCAACCAAATATTTTGCTTCTTGTGTTTGAAAATGAAACCAATTGGTCTCCTTGAGCCATTTAAGACAAAAGATAAGCTTGCGTAATTTTCTCTAAGTGTACGCTCCACACTCCTCACCCGCAGCACCGCCCGCTGTCATACACTTTTATTACAATATTTAGTTGCTCGTTTTCATGTGACGCGTGTGAATTAGTGAGTGTGCGTGTGCGTGTGCGTATGTGAGTGTGTGTGTGTGTGTTTGTGCGTGTTGACCCTCATTTGCTGACATTTAGTGGCAGCTTTCAACATCCTGTCCGCAACATGCGTCATGCTAAATATCTGTTTGTTTGTTTATTTGTATGTGTATTGTATTTTTGAAAGTTTTTTCTGCGCCTCGCTTTATGGTACACATTTTTTGTCCTTGTATTTGTTTTTTTTTTATTTATTTATTTAATTTTGGCATTTTGGGACTGCCCCTTTTTTCGTTCTCGTCTGTCTGTCACATCGTCGTCGTTGTTGTTGTTTCCTAGTTTTAATTTTATGGTTATTGTTTTTTGTTGCCCATTTCTTCGACCGATCCTCTACCGGTTACCGGTCACCGGTCACCATTCCCCTCACCCTTAATGTCGCCCCCAACACTGCTCCATTCATTTATTTTGGCCGCTTTTGTTCATTTCTTAAGTGGCGCTTTATAATGTTGACAGTTTTATTGAGGTGCAAAATGTTGGCCATTTTGGGCGAAAATTGACGGCTAGCTGGCCTGCGAGTAGTGCGAGGTGTTTTATTGGGCTTGGGATTGGCTCTTCTGTAATCGCTTGTTAGCAGTTAGCCGGACAGACGTGAATTGAGTCATGTGTCAAAGGCTGAAAGCAGCAGCGATTGTTAATAGACTGTATAGTATAAACCATATTGCATATACTTGTATGTATATTTAGATTTTATATTTTACTACATTACTGTAAGGCCCTGCGAATGGCACGAGCGAAGCTTCCTTACGCTTTCTAATACTTGTAATTCACACCAATATTGTGAACCCGTCAGAATCGGACGCTTTTGGGTATACACAATATTGGAGCTGGCAGTGTCCTGATCCTCGCTGACGTGCCAATATTACAGTTCTCACGCTGTACACTAGCGGCGGACAGCATAACACATCGGAATTATTCAGCGATATTCAAATTAAAGACGTGATTTAAAAACTAACTTACCACCGATTGAACCCTGCCCCGTGAACCCTGAACTAAACCAATTAACACTCGATCCAAATCGATCCACTGGGGAGGTAGAAAATAAGAAAACAATGAAGGGAACGAACTACACGAGAGTTGTTGATTATTGTCGTATGAAGGTCTGCTTTGAAGTGAAATGAATCTGATTTTTGTTTATTGCGATTAGCGCTGGCTAAGTTTCTTTTCATTGCTTACATTAATGCTAGCTTTATTTTAAATTAAAGAGCTTCAGCTAAAGCGGTTTATAGTTAGTGTTATGTACTTAACTTTCTCTCTATGTTATTCTACTATCTGTGCTCGAATTTTTCAATTAGCTTGAAGTTAAGTGGACAGCAAGAATGTAAGCCAGACAGAAGGACAGACAGCAACAGACAGAACAAAATACAGTCATAAGCTAACAAAATCTATTTAAATCTATAAATGTTTTTGCGGCCACAGCAGCAGCAGCAGCAGCTGCAAAACAACTAAAGCAGCGATACTAAGCAAATGTCATAGGGCTCTCGAGTTTCATTGCATTTAGTTAAAAGATAAATGTCGTCGAAGCAACAACTGCGGATGGTCGAAGTTGACGGTGCACCCAGATTGCAACAGTGCTTGCTGTTGGAGGAGGTAGGAGCGAGGATGGGTGGAGGAGGGGCGCGGTTGGTGCGGGCAGAGTTTTGCAGTGGCTTAAAACTTTGCTGGAGACCTATAGCCTGCAGGCAACGGCTGTGACTGAGACTGCGACTGCGACTTGGACTGGGACTAGGACTAGGACTGATACTGAGGCAGAGGCAGGGGCATGGTGCTATCCCCCTCTCTTCCTGCGGCCCTCTCTTCCACCTCTAAGACGGAACATGTGGGCAAACTTTAACAAGCATCTAATGACAGGACCAGAAACAGCAGGGGGGCTCTGACGGAAGGAGGAATGCAGCAACTAGTATGGTACGCATAAGTTTACTTAAATGGGCATGTCTGTGTGCATGTGTGTTTGTGTGTGTGTGTGTGTGTGTGTGTGTGTGTGTGCTGTCATGTGTGCGCTTGCCTTCTATTTTGGGCTGTAATAACTTTTTGCCATACTTTATAGCATCAGTGTTGTAAAATGTTGCCGAATATTTTTTTCCTCAAGTACTACGACCACAAATTCTTGCACAGAAAATGCAAAATTGTAATAAAAGTTCAATCTATTTAACCTAATTCTGCAATGCCAAGCAGGAAGGATTAAAAACAAGCACGAAGGTAAAAAACATCCTAAATCCCTTTTGCCTGCCATACAAAAAATGAAATTCAAATCAATTCAATCAATTAATACTTAGTAGGGTTGTTGGCTTTCAGGACCGATCCAAAGAATTGTATATTTGTATTAATATTGTTTGAGTGATTCAAACGTTCATTTAAAATTAATATTTAATTAATATTCGAAATCTAGATAAACATTTCCACGATGTCCACCACCTCCATCGCCTCCACCAGTTCCATTGTCTCCATCGCCTGCACCAACTCGATTGTCTCCAAGGTCCCCAAGTTCTCCAAGATTTCTAAGATCTCCATCATCTCCAAGCCCGTCTCCGTCTCCGTCACCATCACCATCACCATCCCCATCGTTTCTTTCGATTCCACCAATTTCGTCTACACCTTCGTTGGCTCCTTCGGCTTTTGTTGTTAACTGTTGTTTAACTGCACTGTTCTCAATGATTTCTTCGATTTCAGTGCTTTCAATATCCGGGCCATAGATACGGTCCTCGTATTCGCGAATGACATTCCAGCTGAGAACCGACTCCATAAAAACCCAGTTGGGAGCCTCACAGAACGGGCAACACTTGATCCCATCAGGAAACAAAGGGTGCTGCGAGCATTCAAGGAACAAGCGTCCACGGCAATAACGCAGACATACGTTGCACACGTAGTTCCTGATCGGACGATCACAGATGCATTTCACAAGCCCAGTTTCTTTGTCCATGGCTTCGTTCTTCTTTGTTGCTTCGATATTGGCACTGACACATCGCTCTCCAGGCATTTTCTCATGCAATTGTGCACTCTGTAGCTGTTTAAAAGAGAAAGAAAACTATAAACACTTTTATTAATTTTTTTTTTTCGACACAAACCGTACGTTTGATTTATATTACACACGAATTCCAACTGAGACTTTTCAGGAATTTGATGCCATACTATAGCTGTTATTTTTATCTCAGCCTACTATGACTGTAAAATCACGTTATCGATTTTTATCGACCAGAGCGTCTTCTTGGCCATGTCCTTTTAAAAATCAACTCGTGCCTTAAAAAGGTTGTCAATTTTCATTTACAAAACTTCAACTTTATAGAAATATTCATTTCATTTCTTGTATATAGTATTTCTACTGCGGAAACGTAAAATGGGTGAACCAAATGCTTTTGGGATGGCTATCCAGAACGAAGATGACGATTGTATTGAGATTATGGAAATTGAAGATTCAGATTCAGATTCAGAAGTTGTGGAAATTGTAGATTCAGATTCTGAGAACAGCTGCGGAACCATAAATTGTTTCGGAACGGCTAACCGGAACGCAGATGTTATTGAGATTATAGAAATTTCTCATTCAGAGTCTGAGAACAGAATGGCTAATCGAAACGTGGATGACGACGCAATTGAGATGATGGATTCAGAGTCCGATTGAGATTCCGATTCAGATAGAATTTCTTATGACCTGTAAGGATGGCGAATTCGAATATGAATAGCTATGTATTATACTCGTACACACGCCAATTAATCCTTTAATTAAATTAGATCATTTTCCTCGATTGCAATAAAATCCACACCCACTACACCCAAAAAACTCGTAGATGGCACTTGTGATGCAATTTTAAATGTAGTTGCTTGTTGTTTTTAGCTTATGCACAGTTGACTTATGTACTAAGAATAAATTGTTTTGCGTTTTTGTATTCTCTCAACATCGTGCTTATTCGAAATGTACATGCTCTGTCTAATTCTAACCTATCGGTTGTCTAGTGGGTTTTCCCAAATATGTATAAGTTCTAAACTTTTTCCTTATCTATCCTAATCTACTAAGTGAATGGTATTCGCACCATTGTCGACTTATGGACGTTACCCCGCATTTCTCTGTGCTGGCTAGAGCAGGGACCAAGCGATTCAATCGTCTCAGCTAACCAATCTTCAAGTCATCATAGTGATTTGATCAGTTGTTTTCTTAAAACCTGTGATATAACTAAGCACTCTCCATTGGCTGCCTATGTGGCTAATTTTTAATATCCCTAATTGGTTTTCAAGTGCCAAGAATTTTCACAATTTGTCTTCGAGTTGTATTACTCTACACTCTTTACTTTTTCAAACAAGTTACATAGGAATTGCTTTTTATGTAACTACATCGCTGCTTCCCCATTTTCCATTGTCTTTGTCTTGTGAATACTTCGATATAAAACATTCTTTAGTCCACCTCCAATAAAAAGAAAATGGTATACAAGTTTCAGCTGCCTGTCTGCAGAGGCTTGGACTATGCGTATAATGAATGGAATGGAATCGAATGAGTCCGGCCGTCGGCTCGTCTGTGAATAGGGACAAACAGTTTTAAGCATATATGTATCTTATGTACATAAATGTATGTATATATTGTATGTACATATAAGATTGCGCGCAAAGCTCATTCGTTCGTTCATTGTACCTGCCTTCAAGTTTCACTTTCCCGATTTCGCTGTTCGTGCCGCACGCAAGGCGTCTGCGACTACCGATATTTTGTTATTGCAGCTTTGCAGTTGCGTTATGGCCCAGAGGCAAGTTGTTTTTAATGTTGTTGCTTCACTTGCAGGATGCCTAAATGCCGAGTGCAGGAGTACAGGCAGGGTGGATTGGAGTTGTGTGCTATTCTTTAGCTTGATTGAAATTTCCGCCAGGCTGCGTTGCACACGGGGCGTATGCGCAACACTTTCGCTCTCGAACGACAGGCATGCATTGTAGCTATTATTTCCAGGCCTCGAGTCAAACTTGCGAGCACGGCAATCTCGGCCGGATATACACATACATACAAGTATATGTTTTGGTGTATCGGTCATGTCGTGTCACTCAGAAGCTCATTAATGTCAGTGTGGCAACTAAACAGTCAACATCGACTGACAACCTCGGCAACATTCAGCGGCACGAGGAGCTGCAGGAGCATCAGCTGCCGGTCAAAATCAAATTTTATTCGTAATTATCGGTTCGCCGATGTCGCCACCATCAGTATCTGTCAATTGCTGGAGCTGCAATGTAAACGAATGTGTGGCATTCATTTGTTTATCAGCTGCCTTTGATAACTGGTTGGCTGACTTAGTGACTCAGACGCAGCACAGTGCATTCGATGTACAAATATTTTGCCCACAGCCCTTTTTGAAATTATTGACTGACAATATTCGTACAAAAATTTACAAGTAGTTCAAAATATGTGTATAAATAATTATTTAACATTTTGCGAGCTTTTTCTTAAGCTGGATGCTAGAATATTATTTCCGTTAAATAAAGAGTAAAATAAATATTTAAGTGATGATCGAACCCTTCGTCAAACCACTTGTAACCATAAATTTGTTCGTCATCGATGTCTTAAATCTTACAACTATTTTATATGCGAAACCAAAGCAAATGTTGATAGGAGTTATTTTTAAGATTCTGTCCAAACCAAATAGGTAGAGTAATAATTACTACTTATAAACAAAAAGTTTATTTGGAATTTTAAATTCTTTTAGTAGCTTGTTTATCGAGTCGTGCTTGAAGCTCTTATGTCCCACCAAGGGAGGCCACACTGTGCGCTGAATCGAACTGGTTGGATGGCCGCGCCTTTGCCACTTTACTGTCCTCGTTTGATGTTGATTAATGAACATGCCGCTGTTGCTACTGTTACCATCGATTTTAAATGCGAGGGCAGTTTTATGTTATGGCGACAAAAGTATGACAGCAGCAACAACAACGAGCGAGTAAAGACATTACGAGCCAAGGTAGCTGCGAGGCCATTCAACTCCCTGCACTGTACTGCACCCTACTGTCCTACTACTTGACACCTGTTTTGATATGCACTATTACAGACAGCCATAGTTATGCTCCATTTTATGGAGCTACCTCTAGTAGCTGAGCAGTTCCAAAGATATCTGAGCCATACCAGGCAGTTCCGCTATCATCAAACAGTATTGTTTAAGAACAGTACCTCTTTGCACAATATACTCATAATATCTCAGCGGCTGTTTGACAAAATTGCAGCTTTCCTTACTAGCTACACAAACATCCTGGTCCCTTTGCGGTCAGAGTTGTGTCTCATTGTAGACCACACATACATAGTAAGAAGTTCAAATATCAATTAAGTAATGATGAGCGTAAAGGGCATACCTGCTGTAACAATTACAACCATAACTGAGCAACTCCATATATATTTGATTTTCAACGGTTGATGCTCCGAAATATTGATATCCGAAAGTGTTGTCGAAAATCTGACACTACCAAGTAGTACTCCCTTATTCTGTTTTAACACGGAATTGCGGGATGAGTTGTATTGAAACTTTTTCTATTTTAGGTATGAAATGCGAGTGCACTTAGCCATGCAAATGAGAATGTGGCAGCTGACTAAGAAAAAACTATCTACAATGACTGTAATGTTGACTATAATGTTGATTTTTATGGCATCTGCCTGCTCTTGCAGTCGCGGGGTTGTCGCGCTAGCGCGGTCTTAATGTGGCGTTCAAATATTTTTCATGTGCAACAGCTAGGTGGCAAACACTCGAGTTGCTTGCTTCTGCACTAATCATTGTGGTTGCTGGCGTTGTAACTATTGTTGTTGTTGTTGGCTTTGTCGTTGTTTTCTCAAATGAACTTCATTAAATGCAAGCGTTAGTTGTTGCCATTTCTTTTCTCTGTGTTGCTCGTAAAATTAAGCTAGAAAAGAGGCGGAAATGGGCTCACAGCGGAGTGCGCCTCAATTTACGGCGCAGCAGAGATTTGAAGTTGCGGAGAACTTTCCGCAAACAACAACAACAGCAGGAACAACAAAAACGAAAGCTGCAGCCGCAGCCGCAGCAGTCAGCCACATGCAAGCAGGCAAGGAAACAAGCAGAGCTCTTCCTGTCCATCTGTCTGACAGTCTCTCCATTCCTTTCTTGCTTTCCTTTCCTTTAAGTGCGTGGGTATTTGTGCATTAGTGTGTTGGTCTGCACGCAAACATAGCCTGCCTTAAACACACACACATACACACACACACGCACGCACACACACAGAAGCAAACTATACGCCCACTTGTTTACCGCCCGATGCGTTTTGTTGCCAGTCTCGCATATTCCGTATCTCGCCTCCAGTCTCAAATTGTGTGTGCGTGTGTGAGTGTGTATTTGTGTTAGTAACTTAACGCTGAGGTTTCGCTTTAATAAGTTTAACAAGTTTCTTGGCATAATGTGCGGCGGACTGACTGCTCGCCTCGTTGCCTTGCCTGCCAGCAAGTTCGCGGCCGCATCCTTGCCCTTTCCTGCCCCTCTTGCAACCGCTTTCAACATCACGCATCACGCAACAGGTTCCGCCGCCACCGCCGCCGCCGTCGCAGTCGCGGGCTCACGTGCCGGCTACAGTGTCGGCGTCATCGTCCCAGAGAAACGAAGATAGGGCGCGAATGAGTGCGAGAGTGAGAAAGATAGAGAGAGAGAGAGAGAGAGGGAAAGAAATGTGTGTGCATCGTTGCCGTTTCTCTTGCCTAGAAAAATTAAGATGGCAGCGTCTCTCATCTTACATACGAGAAACATTACCCTATCCACCACCCCCTTCCGAGCTCCTTGAAATACGATGCCGATGACATCGCATTTTGCTTTATAACTTTTGCGTACGTTCTCTGCACGTTCCGAGACGGAAAAACGGATAATTATGAGCGTATAGGGATGATTCAAGCGTGAGTTTTCTGAAATTATATCACGACTAATGACTCCTGAAATTATCGAGAATAGAGTTCAAATTTCATTTCGATTTTTATGGAAAACCAAAAAAATGCAACATTAGAGAGATTAGAGAGAAAAGGAGAAGACGGAAGTAGAGTGTAAAGGCAGGTGGAAACATGCACAAAAGGAGAAAGTAAAACAATACAGAGGTGCACAGAAGAGCAAGAAGATTAGTCAAGAAGAAGGGGAGCAAAGACCAACAAGAAATATAAAAGGAACAACAAACGATGCGAAATTGAATT